GGGCTCGGAACGGACTGAAGCAAACTGCACAATATAGCTTGCTGAGTGAGAGAGGGGTGGGAGACTGAGGATAGAGGGCAGGGAAGATAGCTGAGGTCGGTTGACAGAGAAGGACTCTATGCGAGGGGCAGGAAAGGCAGTGGGGAAACGGGAGGGGATGAAGTTAGAGTATTGCACCCTGCAGGCTAGGGCGCTCTCCTAATTATAAACACAGGTCTACATATAAAAATTTATTTCAGAAATCAATGCTGAGATACCCTCTAACCATAATAAATGCAGATTCATAAAAGAATATTGCTTCTGTGGTGAGATATTGCGCATGCGCTAACACTCTAACGTAGCCAGATTGTGTACTGATTGGCATATGCAGCGGACACCTTAGATGGAAGGTATTCATCCTGTTTCTTAAGTGAGGTCTACGGATGGTATGTTATGATATAAATCTATGCGGGGATACCTGCTCTTCATTTTAAATGCATAATCTTTGAAAAATATTCTTCTTCTCATGAGATAGTGCGCATGCGCGAGCACCGTTTCAGGCGCTCAGAACGGACTGAAGCAAACTGCATAATATAGTTTGCTAAGTGAGAGAGGGGTTGGAGACTGAGGACAGACGGCAGGAAAGATAGCTGAGGGCGGTAGACGAAGAAGGAGTGTAAGCGAGAGGTAAGAATAGAAGTGGGAAAATAAAACGAGAGGAGATGAAGTAAGAGTTTTGCACCCTGCAGGCTAGGGCGCTCTCCTAATTATAAACACAGGTCTACATATAAAAGTTCATTTCAGAACTCAATGCTAAGATACCCCCTAACCATAATAAATGCAGATTCATAAGAAAATATAGCTCCTGTGGTGAGATATTGCGCATGCGCTAACACTCTAACGTAGCCCAATTGTGTACTGATGGGCATATGCAGCGGACACCTTACATGCAAGGTATTCTTCTTCTACTACCCTTCGGCTATTTTCACTGCCGTTTTTCCTCAGTCTTCCACCCCTCTGCTCTTCAGCAAGTTAAATTATGCAGTTTTCTTCAGGCCGTACTGCACGCCTGCAACGGTGCTCGCACATGCGCAATATCTCATGAGAAGAAGAATATTTTGCGAAAATTATGCACTT